TCTCGTATTTTGCACTTACAGCTCCCGCTCGCAGCAAAGTGTCACTGAAATGCTGCGGATGGGCTATGCTGTGATGTGGTTTCCTGTTTCTCACACCATTGAATCGCCAGAGTCTGACGCATTGTGCTGGTTCATGTTTTAAGAAACTCAAATGTCTAGTGCAAAAAAAAATCAGCACCATTTTTTCCTATAGTGTAAATTGCTGCAATTGACTGAAATTTGCCATCCTTGTGAATTTGCCCTGATGAATGCGAATGAGCACGTGTCTCTTGTCAACAAGGTAGAACTATTCCATGTCCTGAGGTAAGTCTGTTGACCATACCATGTTTCGAAGATTGGTAAGCGGGGGATGGGAAAACTTGTTCAAAGAGACCAGCTCCAGCCTGTGAGGGGTTGCAGTAGTAATTGGAATTTTCTGCCTAGCCTTTTACAGCCAAAAGGACAACTCCGGCACTGCTAGGTTCCTCTTTCTGTGGCAGATGGAAAACTCCAGTTTGTGCCTTAGCCTGCTCTGTGGGAAAGAGATGAGCAGCCTCCACTTGGAAGCAGTTTCCCTTTGTCAGTACCATTTTACTTTGGAATTCCTCCTTACGAGATATTCATGTTGAGTTTCTTTGTGCGGAGAAGGATTTGAGAAAAGGAATCTGATGCACTGACTGAAACACTTTAGTGGTGTCAGATTGAAACCTACGAATGTGGGACTAATTGGAACCATTTTTCTAAGTTTTAACCAGACCTGGTCTTAATGCTGCTGCCTCTCATATCATATCCTCAATACAAGTAACCAAGCAATCACCCAGTTAGAGTTAATAACAAATCTATCAACCTTTCTGAGTTGGACATTAGTTACCCACAAGCTTACCTAGGTCCTTAGTGAGCTTCCAATCAGGGCCATAAATTCGTTCATCACGATGTAACAGTTCTCCTCAGTGTTGGTCTATAACTGCGGTAGGAGAGATGCACTATTAGTTAGTTTTGCTTCACTATCTTAGGGAACAGCAAACATTTGTCAGGGGCCAACCTTCCTTGGTTTGGTATTCTGACACATTATGGCATTTTGTCCAAGATCGCTTCCTAGTTTTATTGGGACCACAAAGTTGCCCCATTGATTTATCTGAGATCTGTCAAGCCTGCATCCTTGAGGGAAATACCCTCAAGGGTATTTTTGATCCATAGATTCATACAGGAAGAAGCGGCCCTTCAGCCCGAGTCTACACTGTCATAAATACCACTAAAAGTGCGCAAATCCTAATTTCCTGCACTTGTCCCAAATCCTTGGATGTTATGATATTTGAAGTACTCATTCAGATTTGGGGAGTGCATTTTGCAAAATTACATATTCCAAGCCTATGTGCATTAATCCACTCAAACGGAGTGCAAACCAATAACTGAGTGTGCAATTCATGATAGATACATTGAAAGGAGTGTTATGATAGAAGTTTTACTCCATTGTTTATAAGATAGCCTGCATTATGATATGCTTTTTCAAACTATTTTAGCTCATCTTGACCTTTAATTGTTCCTTCAAAGCAAGTTCCTGAGTCAAGCAGATGACTAAGAAGCATTCACATTTCAATGGGTGACTGAGTGTATCTTGCCGTGCTGCCAACTTGTAAGAAATAAGCCTAGGTTGCAAAATGAGGAACATTTTACCCATTCTAGGGTGTCTCTTGATGAGTTTTTCCTTATTTGTATATCCAAAGTTGGACCGTTATGCAATTACTAATGTTTTCCAAATGTTACTATCTTGATCTAACCTCCAAGTCCTAATATCCATAATGAGTTCCATGCGGAGACCTATTTTAGATCCGTATCCTGTCTAGTCCGTGGCCAGTTTGCGTGGTTGGCTAGTGTGGAGTTCAAAATAATGCCAACAGTGTGGATTCCATTTCCCGCTCTGCCCAGGGTGCCCCCTGCTCCTGAGAGTGGACCATGACACTGGGCAAAACAGTGAGTCAAGAACCTGTCTTCAGGCCTAGTACATGAAACAGCATGGACTCCTGGCTTGTAGATAAGAGCAAAAAATATCTCACCTTCCTTATTATAGTTGCTCCACCCTTGGTATCCAAGCCTTCAGTTGACCAGGCCTTAAACTCTGGAATCTCCCCCCCCAAGTCTCTCAATTTTTACACCTTTCTCTCACCTTTAAGATGCTCCTGAAAACCTATCCCTTTAATCAAGCTTTCGATTTCTTAAATTAATGGACAAAATCTTCCCTGGTCCTGAACGGTATAGGCTATGAGAAGAAATTTGAGAAATTCAGGGGAGACGTCAAGCCAGGCCCTTTTAACATTGAGCCTAAAGTGTCATATTTTTGGCCAAGTGTGTGCATCCTTCACAGATGAACAAGAACAAAAAGAACAAAGAAAATTACAGAGATAGTAGGACCCTTTTTCTGAAGAAGGGTCCAGGCCGGAAACGTCAGCTTTCCGGCTCCTCTGATGCTGCTTGGCCTGCTGTGTTCATCCAGCTCTACACCTTGTTATCTCTTTTATCAAAGAAAATTACAGCACATGAACAGGCCCTTCGGCCCTCCAAGCCTGCGCCGATCCAGATCCTCTGTCTAAACCTGTCGCCTATTTTCCAAGGATCTGTATCCCTCTGCTCCCTGCCCATTCATGTATCTGTCTATATACATCTTAAATGACGCTTTCGTGCCCGCCTCTACCACCTCCGCTGGCAACGCGTTCCAGGCACCCACCACCCTCTGCGTAAAGAACTTTCCACGCATATCTCCCTTAAACTTTTCCCCTCTCACCTTGAAATCGTGACCCCTAGTAATTGAGACCCCACTCTGGGAAAAAGCTTCTTGCTATCCACCCTGTCTTTACCTCTCATGATTTTGTAGACCTCAATCAGGTCCCCCCTCAACCTCCGTCTTTCTAATGTAAATAATCCTAATCTACTCAACCTCTCTTCATAGCTAGCGCCCTCCATACCAGGCAACATCCTGGTGAACCTCCTCTGCACCCTATCCAAAGCATCCACATCCTTTTGGTAAAGTCGCGACCAGAACTGTACACAGTATTCCAAATATGGTCGAACCAAAGTCCTATACAACTGTAACATGTCCTGCCAACTCTTGTACTCAGTGCCCCGTCTGATGAATGAAAGCATGCCGTATGCCTTCTTGACCACTCTAAGATGCTGCCAGACCGGCTGAGCTTTTCCAGAAACTTCTGTTTTTGTTGTGAGTGACCGATTAGCATGGGTTATGACCATTATCACCCTTATTACTACCTTATCTCACCTCATTAATGTACAGGCTACCATTCTTCCTCCCACTGGAGAGAAACCAGAAATGGTGAGAATTCCCAAGATAAAATTGGGAGCAGGTACCTGGCAATTCCAAGTTGCCATTTGCTCCTCTGAACTTCCATCGTGGACACTGGGAACCAGTATCTCAGGGCACGCTCAGTAGGCAGCAGGCGTGTGTATTCCACTCCCCCACTCCACAGACATTGGCGGTGCAATGCACTGACATCTCGCACTGTAAGGCTGCTGCTTTCTCTTGCTTTGCCTTTTCAGCCAGAACTTAAAGGCTCACGGTATTTCACTCGTGGGCTTGCTGTTTAGCATAGGCAGAAAGCCAGGCGACTTGCCACAGTAGTCAGCAGTGATTGGACAAGCGGGTGGACAGATAGATGGTCCTACCTCAATGTTACACCGACAGCATTGCACTAGTAGGCTATTCAGCAAAAACACTGCATTTCACCAGTTGTCCGAGGAGGAGGATGAGAGCATTGCACTGGGTGAACACTATTTCCAGCCTGAAAGAGCGATGCAGCATCAGATGCAACACACCAGTTAACTGGCGTCCAGTTCCTGGAGATTCGAGCTGGATGCAGTATTTATTCATTGACTGCAAATTTGTTGGAGCTTGTAAAGCAAGTGGGCCCTGTCTGTCGCCAGAAGCAAATGCATTTTTTTCATTTGTTTTCCTTCTTCGCTTTTTCTATTTTTCAACAAAATATAATGCTTCCAATCGTTTGAGAGGTTTCCACACTGAACAATGTGAAGATGACGTGCTGTGCTGGGTATTAGGGAAAGTGTGGCCCTCCCTTAGACAGGTCTGAAGCATGGTATGGTGCAAAGGACAGGCTAGACTGACAGTCGGTCAGACAGATGATGCTGTAAAGGTGCATACAGTTATGAATGTGAATGTCAATTTGTAATGAAGTATCGCCCATACCATCTTTGTGCCTTGAGAAGTTCTTTCTCAGTTCCCTAATGCAGCATCATGGAGGCACAGTGCATACATGTGAGCCCCAGAAAACTGCACGGGAAAGCCCCTTCTGGCTCACAGAGCGAAACCCTCCATGAAACTCCTCAAAATTAACACATTGTCGAAGTTTGCTAAACTTCAGCTCAAGGTTTCAGATCTATGCCTGTACTGCATTGGAATGAGTTTGCAAAAATAATTGCCATCAAAACACATCTACATTTTTTTAGACTCACTTTTCTTCTGCTATGCTATCCCTTACTTCCCTTTCTATTTTCATCAAAGGTTTTGTTCTTTGTTCCGATCTAATCAAAGCTTCCTGATCATTCTTGATTTTGTTGCGTTTTGTTTTGGTCCCTACCTTCTATTCAGAAGGATGGGAGGATGTTTAGAATTTTTAGATTTTAGTTGTTTAGAAATTGGTATTCAAGGAAGATTTTCCAGACAGTAGAAATTGCTGAAGAATTGTAAGACTGGAGTAGTCATTTCAGTCCAATCCATTGTTGATATATTTTTAACACAACTCTCAAATTATGGTTGGGCGTGTTTCTGAATTCGGCCTGTTTTAGTCACCCTTCCCTGACTCCTCTGAATCTCCAGGCTTAGAGTCATTAGCATCTGGGCGATGGGTTCCTTGACCAGGAATCTGAATGTAGGAAGAATTGTATCGTGACCATGCAGCGTGAATGTTGAGGAGAGAACTATCACTGTGTCCTGCCCATTAAGAGTCATTTGGCCAAAATGGCTGAGCTCACACTGGCTTTTGTTTCGGTTGCAGTGATTAAAACCGGAGAGAGTGGCCTGACTGTCTTCCGACTGCTTACCAAAGACAACCGATGGGCCTGGGTTCAAGCAAATGCGAGGCTGGTGTACAAAAATGGAAGACCGGATTATATCATCGCGACTCAGAGGCCCCTAGTGTGAGTGAGCTGACCGTAAGGTTGTTCAATCTGTCCCTGTTGTCCTTCCTTTGATGCTATATTTGTTTCCAGCATTGCATTCTCCTTCTCTAGTTTTTAAATAACATGATCCCTCCTACTTTTAATGTCAAGCGGCGAGAGCTCTTCCCATGTTCAAATCCATTGTGGGTAGAAAGACAAAGGTCTAAGAGGTTGATTTAAGCTGTGAAAGCACCCAGTGTTGTGGAGACTGAGGGGGTCTGGCTTATAAAGCCTTCCATCAGCTTTTATTGGAACCCGTCCCTGATGGTAGATTTCTGTTTTTATTTTTGTTGCAGACTGAGGGAGGGAATTCTCCTCCACATTCCCGTCGGAATGTGAGGGAGATCGTGAGTTTTGGCTTCTGAAAAATGTGAAATAATCACACTTCTAGATGTGACAACATGAGAGCCCTTAGTTTCATTCTAATTTGCAATGTTAGCTGGCTAGAGGATGTAGGCTGGGGTTGTGCAACACAGAAACTGACACTCCAGTGCAGACATGAATGTGGCCCCACCGGAACACTGACACCACATACAGTTGGTCAACCTGGCTCATTAGTTCCTAGCTGTTTACAGAAAATGGAAACCCCCACCCCACCAAACCCTCGCAGTCTTGCTGTCATTGCTTGTCGCTATTCCATATGCCTGGGAAGAGTGGGGAAATTTGAAGGTGCAGGGTCCAGCTTCCCCAGTGGATTTATCTACCCTGTTCCCCTAATGAAAGGTGGGTTTGTAAAATGCAGTCAGCCCCACTTAGCTGCTGAAAGGTTGCAACCTCTGGGTGGCTACCATCTGTCTGAACTTTGGAATGCTTCTGCCCCGCACTGCCTCTACTGGTCCGGTCACAATTTCCTCTTTTGCAATGGTAGGCTCTCCCATGAGGATGGAAATCCAGCTCGAAAACCGCTAGGGATTCCCAGAAAGTGTGGGCAAAGGTCAGACAGGCACACAGGGACAGGCTGAACTCTGCCCTGAAGCAGAGAAGCACCCTGCTCCTGACGTGTCACATCCCCATCGCCCCTTACTTCCTTGCCTTGAGAATACTCAGTGGATGTCCCGGAGGATCTTACTTTTAGTCCCAAGTGCTTACCTTCTGCAAGGGCTGGACTGATGCTAGAATATCCGTTGAGGGCATGCTCAGTATCTTTGCAAGCCGTCATTTTTTCTGACGGGAATGTGGATTTTGAGATATTCCTGGAGGGAGCACAGACGAGCTTTCCTGAGGGGGACAAATAGAACTGGACGGACAATCTGAGCTGATGATCTCACCCCGCCAACTCTGTCAGGGGCACTGAAGTGACTCTCAGTAAACCCAGGTTGTCATGCCTATGGTTGTCTAGCTGAAGCTCTCGACTTTGCATGTTCCAAATATGTCAGAACACGTACATTAGGAGCAGGAATAGGCCAATGTGCCCCTCAAGCCTGCCCGACCGTTCGAAAAGATCCATTCGTGGCCTCGACTCCACTTACCCTGACCCCTTTGGCTGCCCCTGTCAAAATCAAGAACCTTTCTAACTCAGCCTTAACAGTATCCAATGACCCCTCCCTCCACCTTACCCCCACCCCCCATCCCCGACCCCCGCTTTCTTGGAAAGAGAATTGCACAGGCGTAACAGGGAAATATGAAGCACGTTTCCCCCCTGGGGACCCGCGTGGTATTTTAGGCGCGTCCACGGCGGCAAAGTGACTGATTTTGTTCCACGGTCTTGTCCCACAGGGATGAAGAAGGAGGGCAGGAGCTCCGTAAACGCTCGCTGCACCTGCCATTCACCTTCGCCACGGGAGAGGCGCTGCTCTACCAAGCGGCCTGCTCCGTCCCGGGAGTGCCTGACCCCTGGCGGGACGGAGGGAGGGGAGGCAGGGGCAGGAGGAACTCGACCAGCAAAGCCAAGAAGGGTCAGAGAAACGTGGACCCCAGCTCCCTTCTGGGCGCCATGATGCGTCAGGACGAATCCGCGTACGTCTGCCACCCAGCGTCGGAGCCCAGGTATCCCCAGGGCAGCCAGCCCGCTGGCACAGTCGGAGGTGACTGGCAGTGGCGTGCAAGTGACCCCGGTGAAGTGAGCCAGCAGGGGGTTGACGCCGGGCACCTCGACCCCCTGCTGGCCACGTTGGACTCCCTCGACCCGCCTGCCGAGGACAGTTGTCTGAACAGTGACTTATTCAGTGCTCTGGAAAACCTGGGATTCGGAGCAGACGACCTGCAGCTCCTCCTGTTCGACGAGAGGACGGTGACGGTGGATACGGACCCGGGACGCGTCCCGACATTGAACGACGTTTGGACAAACAGGGAGATTTTGTCCTACGTCCACGACTCGATCGTGACGAAGAGCGGCCAGGAGTGCCCCGGGGCCCAGCAACCCTTCCCGACTCCCGGTTTTTCCCAGACTGCGCTCACAGACCCTTTGACGTATCCCTGCAAAGCCCCGGGCAATGAGGCTCAGTATCCCTGCCAGCGTTCCCAACGCTCTTTCCATTCTGACCGTCAGACATCACAGCAGCAAGGCCTGTTGCTGCAGGCCTACCAGAGTGACCAGGGCTTGGCTCAGTGTTTCCAATCCAGCGATGGGCAGCAACCTCAAGAGACTCAGGAGGAACCCACCCATCAGCAGCTTAAGGTGCATCTGCACGCACAGCGCCAGTTCAAACCAAAGACCCACCAGCCATCACCTCTGGTCAACAGCATGCTCTCTCGTAGCCCGGCAAACGCCCAGCTGTTGGATTACAGTTGCCAGTTGGCAGTTGATCAGCCGATTGTGGACAAATTGGATCACCTCCTTGGTTATGATCAGAGCCTGACTTCCTATCAGCAGCTGCTCCCCACGTGTCCGAGTGGGATCACTCCGAGCACAGATTCCCATGTGACTGAGGCACCTTGTATGGAGTTAACGATGAATGAAGGAACTGGCAACGATGGCCATTACCATAGTTTCCTTGCCACATTGTCTACACATCACACCTTACCACAGAAGCAGCAAACTCAGGGGATACCTCACTGCCAATATCAGCCCCTAATTTCTTCCAGCAACCCATTTGTGGACCTGTGTCCAGAGCAACATTCGCTCACAGTGGATCCTTATGGATATTTCCCAGCATTTGTACCTCAAGACAATTCCCACAAGGTAACCAAACTCCAAATGAAAACCGAAAGAACTGCGGGTGCTGTAAATCAGGAACAAAAACAGAAGTTGCTGGAAAAGCTCAGCAGGTCTGGCAGCGTCTGTGAAGAAAAAATCAGAGTTAACCATTTTGGGTCCGGTGAACGTTCTGAGGAAGGGTCACTGGACCTGAAACGTTAACTTTGATTTTTTTGTTCATCGATGCTGCCAGACCTGCTGAGATTTTCCAGCAACTTCTGTCTTTGAACCAGACTCCAAACTCTAGTTGCAATTTTATTTATGTATCTCTGTTTGAAAAGGAAAGTGTTACTTCTAGTGGGATAGGTCTTGGGAGAGATGACCCATGGTTCCATGTTTCACATGGGACTAGAACACTGATAAACCAGAGGGTTAGCTGGCCAGAGTGAACTAGAGAAAAGATAAGTACATGGCTTAAGCTTGCTCATAAATTTTTAACGTTTGGGAAAATTCATATGAACATATAGGTTTGGAGCAAGTGTTTGGCCCGATGAACCTGCTTCATCGCTCAAGAAGGTTGTAGCTGACTGGATTGCAGCCTCAACATCATCATGCTGCCCTCCAGTCCCCTTGTTGGTCAAGGATCCGTCTAACTTGACCCTAAATACATTCACAGAAACTCAGAATTATTATGGTGCAGAAGGAGGCCATTTTCAGCCCATCATGCTTGCACCAGGTCTATTACCTAGTGCCAGTCTTCCTGCCTTTTCCGTATATCCCTGAACACCATCACCATTCAAATAACCATCCAGTGCACTTTTGAATGCCCGGATTGAACCTGCCCTGTCCCACCATTCCAGTCAGTGCATTCCATGCCCTGGCAACTCACTGTATGAAACTTTTTTTTCCTCAGTTAACACTTGCTTTGTTTGCACATCACTTTAAATCTACACCCTGTTGTTCTTGTGTTATAAGCAGGAACACCTTTGCCCTATCTATTCTGTCTGCTCATGCTTTTGAAAGCTTCAATCAGATCTCCTCTCTCCAGGAAGAACAATCTGAACTTCTTCAATCTATCCTCATAGCTGAATTTTTTTCATGCCTGGAACTGTACTAGTAAATTACTTCTGCACTCTCTCCAATGCATTCACATCTTTCCTGCAATGTGGCACCCAGAACTATACAGATTACTCTAGCTGAGGTCTATAGGGGGTTTCATACACATTCTACATCACCTCTGAGCTCATGTACTCTATGCCCCAATTAGTAAAGCCAAGAACACTAACACCTGAAGAAGGACTGAGGCTCCGAAAGCTTGTGTTTTCAAATAAACCTGTTGGACTATAACCTGGTGTCGTGTGATTTCTGACCTTGTCCACCCCAGTCCAACTCTGGCACCTCCACACCATCACTGTATGCTTTATTCACTGCTCTCTCCACCTCTTCTGCCATCATCAATGATTTCTGCACATTTGCAACCCGGTCCCTCTGCTATTGCACCCCCTTTAGAATTTTACCCCCTTTTATTTTGTTTCAATTTTCTCTGACCAAAGTGAATCACCTCACACTTCTCTACAATGAGCCTCATCTGCTACCTATCTGGCCACTCCACCAACTAGTCAATGTCCTTTTGGAGTTCCACACTGTCCTTGTCACAGTTTATAATTCTTCCAAGTTCTGTCTCATCAGCAGACTTGAAAATTGTCCCCTGCAAATAAATCAGAAAAAGCAAGAGTCCCAGTACAGAGAACTTCACTTCCAGTCTGAAAATATCCATTGGCCACTCAATTCTGTTTTCCATCCAATTTTGTATCCGCATTGCCCTGTTGCTTTCATACTATGACCTACAACTTGCCTCACAAGTCATTTGCCTTCTGGAAATCCATATATACCACATCAACACTCCAGCAAGTCAGTTAAACATAATTTCTCCTTTATAAGTACATGCTGACTCCTGATTCAATATCCCTCATGCTCTGGGGAAGGGTTCCAAAAACTCACAGCGCTCTCAGTGAAAAGGATCATCCTCATTGCAATCTTAAATGGGAGAGTCTGATTTTAAACTGTGTTCTAGTCTCTCCCACAAAGGGAAGTATCTTTTCTACATCCACCCTGTCAAGCCCCATTAAGATCTTACATCTTTCAATAAGATCTCCCCTCACTGGAGGCATCTTGACAGATACATGAATAGACAGGGAATAGAGGTATATGGACCGTGTAGAAGCGAGGAGGTTTCAGTTTAGTAAGGTGTCATGTGTTGATGCAGGCTTAGTGGGCCGAAGGACATCTTCCTGTGCTGTGCTGTTCTTCATTCTTCAAAGCTCCAATAGAAAAAGCCCAGCTTGTCCAACATTTCCTCATGAGATGATTTCTGTATTCCAAGTATCAGTCAGTGAACATTCTCCAAACTGCCTCTACTGCTTTTATATCCTTTCTTAAATAAAAGGTGACCAAAATGTACACAGTGCTCCAAATGTGACCTCACCAATGCTTTACACGACTGTAGCAAACACTTTGACGTGAATATGGTGTAGAATAGAATGGAATTGCCTTTATTATCACATGCACTTGAATGAGTGCAGTGAAGGGTTTGTAATGTCACCTCTTTAGCGCTATCTTACGTACCTAGGTACAGATACTTCAGGTGTTTGTTACAGAATTGAAAGAGTAAAAACAAAGTCTAGTGCAGGAATTCAAAGTTTTAAAAAGTACTCAAATTACTCAACGTCCAGGATAAGAGTGAGAAGTATCTTTAAAAGTACTCAAATTATAGTCCTTTTCATGGAGTCTGTGCCCCAGCTGGCTTCAGAACACCAGGCCTCGCTGCCTGCACAAGCTGGCCTCCAGTTCGGACTCACCTCCCAGCTCGGCCTGGGCTTGGTCTGCTCCTGCTCCGGGCTCTAGCCAGGACTGACTTCTGGGACTGGCCTCTGCGCTGGTCTGGTTTCTGACTCGTCTCCCACGTCTAGCTGCACTCAAACTCACCCCCATTGTCCATTCCCTTCAGGTAGGGTCGTTTAAGAAGATAAAAGTTGGGAAGGGGAGGAATAAAAATTGCAGAAAAGAGGGAAAAAAAGAAAGAAAAAGGACAAGGAACTGACGAAGCAGGGGAGCTCCGGCTGGAGCGTCCTACTGTGCCACCATCTTGAATGTTTACATTCAAATGAATACATTCCCCTACAGTAAAAGACAGCATTGCACTTGGCTTCCTAACCACTCTCTGTACCTTTTGTGATTCATATACCAGGACACCGATATCCTTCTGAGGCCTGCAATCTCTATTTAGAGAAGATGCTACATTTCTGTTCTTCTTGCAAAAGTCAGCGAGTATACATTTCCCCACATTATACTCTATCTGCCAGAGGTTTCCTCACTCACATAACCTGTAAATATTCTTTGCAGAACATTTACATCTTCTTCATATCTTATTTTCTAACCAACCTGTTAATATCTACAACAAACTTTGCAACCATGCATTCGGTCTTTCATCCAATAATTGATAGGAAAATGGTTGTGGCCCTGATACTGAGACCTGTGGCACACCACTCACCAACCTGAAAACAGCCCCTTTCTGCCGCTGCTTCCTATTAGGCTCTGTTCATCCTCTGCCAATGCTAATGTATTACCTCCCCTTCACCCCACACACACACTCACACGCAAAATAAGCTCTTACTTTGTTTTGTAACCTTTGATGTGGCACTTTGTCAAATATCTTCTGGAAACCTAAATAGAGGAAATATAAGTACAGTATATGCAACATTTCCCCTTAATCGATATTGCTTGTTGTTGCCTCAAGGAGCTCCAATGAAATAAACAAACTTGATTTCCCTTTTGGAAAACCATGTTGACTCTGCCTGATTGCATTAAGCTTTTCTGAAAGTCCTGCTATAAACTCCTTATTAATAGATTGTGGCATTTTTCCAATGACAGGCATTAGGCTAACTGTCCTGTAGCTTTCCTTTTTAGAATAGAGGAGTCACATTCCCTGTTTTCCAATTTGACAGAACCTTTTTAGAATTGAGCAAATTTTGGAATATTTAAACAAATACATTAATGATCTGAACCACCACTTTTAAAACCAGAGGTTGAAGTCCTTCAGGACATGGGGACTTATCGTTATTTTAATAATTCTCACAATCCCCTTTCACCCGGTGATTCTAACTGTTTTATGTTCTTCACTTCCTTTTACCTTCAGATTCATATTTATTTCTGGGATATTATTGTTATCTACAGTGAAGAAAGAGGCAAAATATCTGCTCAATTCACCTTCAGTGTCCTCAATTTTCATTGTTAAGTCCCCAGACAATCTCCGTTGAGGAACAATGCTAACTGTGCTTTCTCTTATACTTGTGACTAAGATCAGAAATTTGTGTCTAGCAGGTAAAGACAAACAAAGGAACAAAACAAATGAAATAGGATCTGCTGTAGCCCATTCAGCCCCTCAAAAGCCTGCTTTCCTGTCCAGTAATGCTATGGCTCATCTTCTGCAAGAACACCACCTTCCCACCCATATCCACAGATGATTGAATTCAAAAGATTCACAGATCTTTGAGTGAGTGGATCATTCATCAGCTCAATTGTAAATGACTAATCTCCTTGTTCTGAAACTGTGCCCTTGTTTTCTAGGTTCCCCAGCCAGAGGGAAACATCCTCTCGGCATGTACCCCCGTCAGTTTGCTGCAGAATTTCACATGTTTCTGTTAGATCATTTCTCGTTCTTCTGAAACATTAGGGAGTACAGGCTTAATTTACTCAGACTGTCAGTACAATCCTCATTTCAGGAATCATTCTAGTGAATTGTGGCGGTACTCCTTTTAAAGCAGTTATATCCTTCTACAGGTAAGGAGACCAAATTTAGTGCAATACTCCAGGTATAATCTGATCAAGTTCTTGCACATATAGAGTCATACAGCACAGAAACAGACCCTTCAGTCCAACTTGTCCATGCTGACCAACTTTCCCAAACTAAACTAGTTCTACTTGCCTTTGTTTCTTCCATTTCCCTTTAAACTTTTCCTATTCATGTACCTGTCCAAATGTCTTTTAAATGTTGTATCTGTATCTGCATCTACCGCTTCCCCTGGCAGCTCATTCCACATACGAACAACCAGCTGGTGTGAAGAAATTGCCCCTCAGTGCAATAAGGTCTCTTCACTCTCATAGTCCCATCTTTGGTTAATAAAGGCTAACATGCTCTTTGCTTTCCTAATTGTTTGCTGTTCCTCCATGTTAACGTTCTGTGGTTTCAACACTGAGGGCCCTCTGAAAGCAAGCATTTCCCAGAGACGGGCTATGATCGGATTCTATCATTGACTGAATCTAACAAAGAGAGTGGCCATCGATTATACCTTGCATTTATTAAAATCCTTGATAAAGTCAGTGGGTAAAGTTAGCGTTTTGCTGCCTGGCAGTGTAGCGTGGCACACAGTGCCTAGGAGTCAGCCAAAGATTGGGGAGAGGAGGTAAGTGACCAAGGGGCATCCTGCCCTGGCTGCTTTTCAGTCTGTTTGGCTGAGATACTTGTGTGGGCAGAAACTGACTTCACCCTGAACCTGTGGCACTTGCTGACCACGTGCGTGATGCGATGCCACTTGATTGAAGCTCAGGAAGTGATGACACCAGCAAAAATCGTACTCAAGTCACAGTCAGGGCCTTTGCGAGAGAAAATCGTGAGCAATAATTGGGAAGCGTGTGGCCCTGAACCAAATGGTAGTCATCCTAACACAAAACAACCCTTTCATCAGACTGCAACACCGCTGTGGATCGAGCAACAAAAGTGTATATTTACACTTGTAGTGTCCCAAGGTGCTTCACAGGAATGTGACCAAAAAAAGAATGAGCTGAGATATTAGGGGAGAAGGCAGAGGTTTTACGGGGTATCTTAAAGGTATAAAGGTTGCCACATCTAGCATGGAGGTTTAATAGTGCACTGTGCATGTTTCCGTCTGTTTTTTTTTTCAGAATCTTTAATCATCTATTCTTTCTTAACCGAAGGAAAGAAAGACTTGCATTTTGATTCAGGATTGCAGGATGTCCCACAGTGCTGTAGAGCGACTGAGCTCCTTTGGAAAGTGACATTGCTGTTGCATTGTTACAAACACAGCGGTGAGTTTGCCAGCTCTCGCAAACAGAGAAGTGGCAATGATCCGTTCATGTGTTTTGCCGACATTGATAGAGGGATAAGCATTGGTCAAGATGCCGGGGAGAACTGTGCTGATTGTCAGCGTAGTAACATCCCATGAGACGGCAGGCAGGGATTTGTTTCAATATTTCATCTGTAAGATGATGCCTCTGGCAAAGCAACGATCCTTCTGCCTAGATTTCTGTCCTCATCCTGTAAGCTAGGACTTCATCCTTCTGACTCGAGAGGTGAAAGTGTTATTAGCTGAGACCAGGGAGCTAAGTTTCAGCTTTCTTGTGGAGCTGCTAATATTAGATCTAAGTGGCAACTTAGTTTGCCAGGAGCCTGCTGTTAGCACATGGAGCGTGTGTTCCTCTCGTGTTGGGCTCTATTTTCAGTCTGATCCAACTTGTAGGGTGCTGGGGTCCAATCCTAACTTCATATGTCACAGAGCGACCAGTGTGAAGATATCCTGTTTCCACCCCTTCCAGTGAGACAACTGACCTAATGCCAATTTCTGCAACACCATGGACAGGTCTGCGCTGTGTCTTTGCATCTCATGTCGAGAGTTCCCAAACTGATTTCAACAGAGATTTCCAATGACAGAGGACACTGTTGTTTTACTGGTCCAGTTTGCTTTTGAAAGCAGTTCCCAGCTCAAAAGATTGCAAGTCTCCAAATTGCAGCAAGATTTCGCAGGCCTAGAAGCCTCAATCGTGGAGAGTTTACTGCCTGTCTTGGATGCCAGGAATGTAAGCCGTGTCTGAATCTGTTTCCGATTCCACTGGAACTAACGGCATTTTTATAAACTGTCGCAGCATCATTCCATTGAAGATCTGCAGGCTATGCCAGTGTTTCGATTTGTGCAGAGCTCGCTATTTCAGAAGTGACACCATGAAATGGCGCAGAAGAGGCCAGCAGATTTCCCTCTGCTCCCACTCCCTGTAAAACAAGACTGAGCAGTCCTGCCCCAACTAGGGAGTTTAGGAGAGCAAACTGAAGCCTCAGAGTGTGGGCCACTTGGGAGGGAGGGGAGAAGGTGTCCAGTCCCACCCTCTACATCTCTTTAAAGGAACTTCTGCTTGAGAGATGGTGGTTCAGTAGGGCACAGTCTCTCCTCAGATAAATCTGAGTTACACTGAGCTGTCATTGGGCACGATATGCTGTGTTGGTTACCCTTGGCTTGGGCAATGACACTGTATGCCCCCTGAGCTGAGGGGATGTACTGTTACACGTCTGTAGTGACTTGAGCAAAACATATCAGTTAAGGGGAGAGCTGGAAGAACAACATCTCATTTTCCGCTTGGGAACTCGACAGCCTGCTGGACACAATGTTGAGTTCAACACTTTCAGAGCTTGAGGCACCTTCTGCCACGTCCTTACCCCAACACCCACACGCCAGGCCTTGTTATCACATGGTCTGCTGTTAAATACAATCCATTGTGAGCCACTATTTGTCTACTAACGGCTATTCATTCAGGCTGATCGTGATCCACTCCTTCGTCTGTCCAACTTTTTTTCTCTCTCTTTGGGCTTTATTCTCCATTCATCATTTACTCCCTAAACCCTTCCGCCAACCCATCTTCTGCATAAAAATCAACATTTTCTCGGCTACCATCGGTTTCTGAGGGAGGGTCACCGGACCCGAAACGTTTAACTCTGATTTCTCTCCACAGAGGCTGCCAGACCTGCTGAGCCTTTCCAGGAATTTCTGGTTTTTGTTTCAGGTAAAGAGGAGATTGGCCTTCTGATGGTCCTAATCACCGAATAGACTTCTTGTCTACTCCCAATATGTGAAGATAGGCCATAAAGGTGACAACAGGAAGGTGCCAGCAGGTGGATGACATTCTCAGAGTCAATACAGCAGTCACAAGAGAACGAGAATCCCACTTCCAGCTCTGAGAACAGCCTTCCAGTTACGCCTGGCACATCCTGGCCTGCTCCAATTGCAAGTTCATATCCATAAGGTGATTATTCATAGTAAAGCTAATCTCTCACCTTTCTCTCTTCTCTCACTGTGTTCCTAGGTGGAGAGCAGCTGCAGTTTGGACACTGGAGACCTGGCATTTGCTGGAGGTTATGAACATCCCAGTGGGAGCACAGTGCCCTCAGACAGGCTGCAAACCATTGCGGGCATTCATCAAAACCCCTCTACAGCTGGCTATTACCTTCAGGCACACCAAACTGGAAGGTCAGCTCAAGATTTGCACCAGGATGCAGATTCGCATAAAGATGGAAGCTTTCCTGTTTAAGACAAGGCACTTTCACTTTTTGAAATCATGCCTGTTTGGTCTTCTCAGGTTTGGATTTGGGGATGGGTGGGGTGGGTTTACAAGCCAGTATTTTTATTTTGTTCAAGATGTGCAGACTAAAATGTTCTCAGAGTGTTAATTATGATGGGCAATAGTTTAAGTCATTCTGACCCAGGATGCACCACTTCCCCTCTCATATAACCTCCTCTCTTACTGATTAGAATTACTCCGAGACATCTAAAAGCTGGGCATGACAGCCTCTGCTGAAATGGTCGATGTCAGTAGCATTGGACTAAGAGACGGGAATCCAAGATTCCAGGGTGCTGCCACTCCCAACCATTAACCAACTTGTAAATGTGTGGCATCTGCTCTGGTGTTGCCTTCAGTGAGGTGTAAGAGGTACTGCAGTCACATTAGTGAGCCAGGTGACTGCGCAGTGTTACCTCAGCCCAGGCCTTTGTTGAACACGTCATTGGGAAACGAAGGGGAATTACACCAAGACAGATCAAGACTCTCCTCTGGTATCTCGGAACAATTTAGAGTGCTGCATCAGAGCCATCATGTCTCATTGTTTGACAGAATGAAGGCTGCTAATGACCCATCACAGCAGTATTTAAACCCTGGTAAAGATGAGTCCTTTTGCGCAACGAGGTCTATCTTTGTTACATCAAATGCAAAATACCCTGCATAGGGAAAGGAATCTGCTGTACATGGGCAATTCTGTAACTCGGGCCTTTGTGTTTTGAGAAGACATTCTTAGAGCTGAAGTTGTGGTATTTGGTCGTTCTGACATAAAGCTCTAGTTGCACCACATCTGTGTTGGGTTAACACCTTAGGACAGATACATTAGCCTTGGGAAGAGAGTGTCATGCAGATTGCTCTGACTAGGCTTGTATTACCTTGAGTATACAAGCTGGATGCTGATGTAATGGAAGGGTCTAAAAGAGTTAAAGGAGTTGATTGGGTCGATAGATATGTAAAACTATTTCCTGTGGTGGTTCTAACCTGATATTAGCACCAAACTATTCAGGGACAAACTCCAGAAGCAACTTTTCACAAAAAGCAGAGTAGAAATGCACTGGTACACACTGTCTACTCCACAAGCAGTTCTTGTGCAGTTGGCGGTCAATTGAAAAGAATTCAAAACTGAAATAGTTCAAAACTGAATGTTTCTATGAGGCAAAGGATGGATGCTTAGAGAAGCCATGTGGGTAGAATGGAAGTTGCATGCTGATCTAATTGAATGGGAAAACAGACTCAAGGGACTGAATGGCCTCCTTCTGTTTCTAAAGGAAGATGCGGAAGTGGCCAAACCTTGAGAGGTTGGTGGTGTCCAACGAATTGCCTGTTTGACTTGAAAAGGAAAAGGGAATTGATTGAAATTGATGGAAATAAGGCACATAGAGATGAAAGATTGAAATGAATTTTTCCCCACAGTGAAGTCTTTGATGAAAAGTTGCAGAAACATATTTGAGATTGAAATGAATTATGTTTCTAAAAGGAGCGGCAGACACATTGACAGCTCTGCCCTTTTGTTATAAAGTATATGACCATCAGGCAGCCTTGCAGCCTATTGTTGGGGTTCCCAGGCCACCTCCACAAGCCACTGGCTAACTGTCACTGGGACTGCAGCAAACCCTGAGTAGAATCATCACTGGAAGCCTCAGAAGAAAACCTTTAACAAATATTTGGATGAGCACTTGGAATAGCATCACATTCAAGCGTATGGGAGAAATGCAGGAAATTGGGAGTAGCGCACCTTTAGTGGTAGTTATGTCGGTGCAGACTCGATGGGCCGCTAGGCCTTTTCTGTGCTGTGTGAATTTATGTGTCTATAAGAGATGGTCAGTAGGCAGCCTCACTGGGGTCCTGGGAGGTGGACTGAAGGGGTTGTTACACCTGAGTCTCAGGTGACGTTCCCCACATTTGTCAGGGTTCCTGACAGGATACCGCCCCCTTCCCCCCCCCCCCGGATATTAAGGATCATTAAGCTCCTGCATGAAGAGGGGTTAACTGGTTTCCTGCCTCCTTAGTGGGTCTCAATGAGGTAAATTTACCAAAACGCCCCTTCCCTTGTAAATACCTTTCTCCCAGAACCAAATGAGCTTACATTTTGAAAGAAGTCCATTTAACCAGGCCATCTTGAGTTAACAATAAGTGAGTTTATTAAAAATTAAGTGTGAGAGGAATTGGTAAGGCAACACACATACATTTAAATTAGAAATGAGAGGGGAGTCCGAAAGGATAAAAGCATTAAACAAACAGAAATACGGATCAGTCTCTGAATTGTATGTGATGAACGGACAGTTTTAGGTCGCAGTGGAGGTTGTCAGTAACGTTACAACTGGCAGTATGATAGTCAGTTTCATGATCCTCATTTTTGCAGATTTTTGAGTTTGCGTAGTTCTGATTCTTTTCCATTGTAATAGAGTCCCAGCATTTGGGGTGAAAGAGAATTCTTTTGTTCCCCTGATTGCTTTTGGCTTGCTGCTAGCTGGCTAAGTTCTAACAGTCAGAGTGAGAGTCCCTTTACCTGCAACACAGGGGTGATTAGGAGATAGTTCTTTGACCATGACCTTCATAGCACACTACTGCCCGAACTCAGGGTGGTACACAAAAGAATGCTCAATCCCGTTAGCACATTCCAATAGAGCTGAAAAAGACTTCTACACAGGATAGCCTAAGAATCTGTGGAGCTGCCTACTTCATCTCAGCCATCTACTGTTCTCCATGTAATCTCCTGAAGTAATACTCTTTGTAATTATCCTGATGGCTCTTCCACTAGTCTTCTTTGCTTTACTTACTTCAGTAAAGGAGAATATATTGCAATAGTTTTGACAGTGAGCTTTCATGCCAATCCAGACCAGTCCCAAACTGTGGGATGGTCGAAGCCTCTTGTACCTACTGTCTGTTGGCTTTTCTTGATATGGGTTTGGGCAGTCTTAAACGAGTTTACGGTGAGAATCCAGAGATGACAATCGTAGCCCAACAGTCCATTGGTTATTTGAGTTGAAGTTGGTTCAGTGGTGCACTGATCTCCTCCAAAAGCTGAACTCTCAGGCAGGTTTTTGCGACAATGTGGGAAGAGTTCTATTTGTTATTTGAGTTGGGAATGCTTGTTTCTGAACATAGAGTACTCCAATTGATCACTCCAAAAATAAAAGCCCCTGATGTTTTGTTGTCCCATGACCAAGGGTGAGCCCACCGCCTCAGTACAGGATTCAGGAGCTGAGGAAGATGTTTGTTGACAATGCTCAGAATGATTCCAAGTTGGGTCTCAATGCTTATTTGATCAAAATAACATTGGGGAGAAAAGATTATGGCAGCCTCAAGGCTCCATAAGTTACAAATGAATGACTTCCGCTGTGATAGCGCCATCAGTAAATTAAAACAAAATTCAAGCTCCCCGGTAGTTGATGTTAAGTCCCAGGAAAGGGTTAGATTAGGAACAAAGTTCCCAGACCTCTGTAACTACAGTTTAAAGAATTATTTCTGAATGATGATCTTGTGTGTTACAGCATGACACAGTACAGAGCTGTATTTAATCTGTGCAAATACTTTGAAGTTCATTTAATCAATTGTTTAACATTGTTGAAATCGTGCATTTAATTTATAACACAGCACTGCAACAGTTTGAATATTCTGTGGGTCGCAAATGCTTTAGGATCTTAATCTACGGCAATCAGTTGAAACCTATGCTGTGGCTTAATGAATAAGTGCACATTGGTGTGTGTGGCTGAGCAGGGAGGCTGGGAGAGAGGAGAGACCAGCGCTCAAATACCATCTTGACAAGTTGCAAACCTATATTAAAGAAATCAGGTCAAGTGATCATGGAGGGATTTTCCCCATCACTTCCACCTCTGCACCAGAGAAGATCCCAGGTTGCTTTTGCTGTATGGGTAAACCACTCTTATGAAGTGGATCATAGGTCACAAGTCTCTTTTGAACCAATATTCAGACTGAGCGAGCTATTTTCATGCAAGCTCCACACCAAAGTGAAGACTGCATGAAAAGTTTGGCTTAGGTGGTGTAGGGTCACTGATATCTCTAAATTTCATATCTTGAAGTTTCATTGCTGCTGAGGGGCCACTCCATCAATGATTATGGAGGCAATGGAGAATAAAACTCACAAAAAAGGTTTATGGCCTCCCCTACAAAACTTTATTGAATTGCCTAAGCACTGTCCCATCATAACCCCATGAGAAAAATTCCAGAAATGTTTCTCTTGGCATTCTCTGAATGCAATCCAGTTAAAAGGTCAGAGTATTTATTTGCCAAATGTGTATCACTTCTGGGAAGTGGGATTTTTTTTTGTCCTAAATCCTGTTGGTTGTTAGTCACTTGAACAAAGCAATGAGTATTTATGATGTTTTTAGGTTTAGAGGCACATAACTTGTTTCAACTTGACAGTGGGACTCCTAACTCTGGATGAACACATCCCTGAGCGATTGGAACACAGCCATTTTACCCCATTTCCAATACCTTTACCATGAATAAAGTAAAATCTTCAAGGTAAATGGAAAAAAATGTTTCTGTTTATAGGCTTTGTGAACTTTTTCTCTGGTTGTTTGTGACACTCTCCAGGAGATGACATTTTAATTACTTCGGAGATGTTGACTTGACAGATAAAAGCTTTACGACTATTTGAAAGTTCAGTGTAGTGATAAAAGGTACTTTAATGCTGGAAGGAGAGGAAAAGATTATCGCCAGGGTTTCATTAGCATAGACTTGTGTTTAAAAGCTGGTGTCCTCTCATGAACAGGCTTGCAGCCACTCATAAAAAGCGGAAGTGATACTCCGACACCACCATCAGATTCCAGGGGAAATTTGTAACTGAGTGATTCAGCAAAGTCCCAGGATCAATCCCCAAATATTAACTCCTACTCGCAGCATAAAAAAGGTTTTCAAAAGACTGGGCAGCAGCTTTCGAAGTTCACTAGCCACCATCTTTTGTTCCCCCCCTCCCTCACAGTGCATGCTGGGTTAATGGATTTCAACTA